CCCCAAAACCCCAAAACCCCAAAACCCCATTAGTTAATTATAGGATATACTTATGAAATTATATATCAATATTTTGAATAAAATGATGAAATTAGTCTAGCAAAAAAATTAACAGCTAGCACAGTTTTTGATTCAGTAAATCTGATTTCAATATGAGCTTTATAGATTTAAATAAGCAAAAATGTTTTCAAATGTGAACCAAAATTAGTACACTTAATAAGAAGTCTAGAAAATTCAATCTAAGTATATGCCAGTAAATATGCTAGGAATGATTGCGAAACCTCAATAAATTAGCTACATACAATAACCTTGCTTTGGAAAACGAAGATTTTCTGCTGTTCGGAAGACTAAGAAATCAATGTAAGCAAATTATCAAGATTTTACTTAATTTACTTATAGTACTAATAACTTTTACAATAATCAATGGATAAATAGGGCATTTAAAGCACTAGATTCAGGCAATAGGGGTTTTCTTTTCAAAGAAGAGATTATCAATTTGATAAGGATTGAAGGAATTTCCAAACATTCATCTTTATAAGAATTGAATTAATTACTGAAGAATAAGAGCTATACAGAGCCAATAAACTAAAAGGAATTTACAAAGATTGTAAGTGGATAAAACTTTTTGAAAAAAGTCTTTGAATAAGACTTAATAATACCCGAATTCGAGGCATTTAAGAGAAGACTAGGCCAATCATACGATGAAATCAAATAAGACGATAATAATGAGTACTCTCATGGTGAAATAGCATCATACATACCACCTCTAGCTAAGGCTAAGAGAGAGTGGTTTGCTACTGGATTTTGTTCTACTGACTCATAATTTACTTAATTTGGAGATACAAATATTAATTTTTCAATCTAATCTATTGGAAAAGTTGTTGCTTATGCTTTTCTACACAATCTTATTGGTGATGAAGTTCATAAGTGGGTTGGCGAAGAACCAAGTGGAGCAGCATTCAATGCCCCAGTATTTGACAAAAAAGGAAGGCCTCACAATCCTATGATTAATGCAGGATCTATAATGGTATGTGCATTAATATTAGACAAGGATTAAACACTAGATGATTTGATTGAGTTTTATAAATAGGCTTCCTCAGTTGAAGAATTGGAAGTTGATTAAAATCTATTTTTATAAGAGTAGGCCACTGGATATTAAAATCATGCTCTATCTTCTTTGATGCTTGCAAACAAAGCATTTCCCTTTAAAAATGATCCTTACTGAACTAAGGTACTAGCTGATTAGTCATTAGAACTTTATTTTTAAATTTGCTCACTTATGGTTAATGTAGAGTCTTTAGCTAGATTTGGAGCAATGCTAGCAAATAATGGTGTTAATCCATCAACTGGAGAGAGAATAATAAATCCTAATACTGTTCAAGCTGTGGTTACTTTGATGACAACTTGTGGAATGTACGATGGAGCTGGTAAATTTACAAAAGATTTAGGTGTTCCAAGCAAGAGTGGAGTTTCAGGAGGCCTTATTTCAGTTATTCCAGGAATCGGAGCATTTTCAACTTTTTCTCCACCTATAAATCCAGAAGGAAATACAGTCAGGGGTATTGGAATTATCCATAAGCTTAATTAAGTCTATAGCAACTTCAATTTATTTTACAAAAATACTAGTAAATTTGACGTCACTAGAAAACCATTTTAAACAAAGATTCAAACTACAATTTTCGCCATCTCTTTAGCTTCAGTTGGAGATATTGAAGGTTTAATTAGATTACATAATTAGTAAGCTAATTTAGAAGATGGTGATTATGATAAAAGGACACCATTACATTTGGCTTCAGCAGGAGGTCATCTTGATTGTGTGAAATTCTTGTCGTTTATAAATGTCAATATTAATCCAAGAGATAGATGGGGATCAACACCACTTAATGATGCTTAAGGTGAAAAATTAAAATAATATTTAATTTCAAAGGGAGGCGAACTTGGATAAAGTTGTACTTATAAACCAGTAAAGAATCCAAGTGACAGTGACAATCAATTTAGGCTTTTGTATGCTGCTGCTGAAAATAGAATTGAACTTATTAAAAGTATCCATCTTTAAGGCTTTGAATTTAATTCTTATGATTATGATGGACGAACAGCTCTCCATTTAGCCGCCTCTGAGGGTCATCTTGAAATTGTGAAATATTTGGTAGCTCATGGGGCCGATCTCTCAAAAGTGGACGCGAGAGGGAACTGCCCAATAGCTGATGCCATTAGAGAAAACAAACAAGAAGTTGTTGATTACCTTAACTCCATAAAACAGTAAAGCAACACTTGAAAAGATTTTTATAATTAAAAAGATATCAATTTAAACCAATATTACTCAATGAAACGTTATTAATTTGGATACAAATTTTCACTTACGGGGTTTTGGGGTTTTGGGGTTTTGGGG